CATTATTATCCCCCCAAAAATTAAATTGTGCATTGAATTAAGGGTTTTTGGTGTTTTTTGGCATTATTTTGAATTCTACCACATGATGCCTGATTAAATATTTATTACAGATAGCCATCCAGAGCTCAGTCAGAAAACGACCCAGTGGGATGTAAGAAAAAAAAAAAAAAAACACACACACACAAACTCAATTTCAACTAAAAAATAGTATTGCCTAATCAAAGAGCCCCGTATAATGCAGTCATTTTTTCCCCCCCAAAAAAATTCCCTCGGATCCATCATACCCTTACACATTACTATTATTATTAAATAATAACTGTGGGACTATTTATTTTGCTATAGCCTAGCATATTTACATATCACTCTTCTTCAAAAAATGTATTTTTTAAATTAATTTATTTTACAACAATATTATCTTGCTTATGTTGTCTGAAAATGTTGCGTCCAAGTCTCACTCAAAGACAAAATACTTGAAGCGGCAGAAAAGCAGCCCGGTGTTCATAAAGTCTTCTACAAAACAACACGATCCCCCTCTGCCCTGAACTGGCTCAAACGGAGCATGACCCCTGACCACTAATAAAACTCTATTCTAGATATGAGTGGAGGTTGAAGGTCAATAGTCATCAGAAACTCATGTTGGGTTACATGACGAAACTAAATAAGACGGTCTATAAATATTATTTTCTATATATTGTAGAGGAGGTTCAAGGGTCAGTACTCAAAGCACAGCATCTGCAACACTTCGAAACACAACATGTTAAACAAAAGACATTGACATAAAGATTTTGTGTCTCGTGCGCTTTTCGTAACTATCCAGACCCGTGATAAATATTTCCGCGACGTCTGACGTCTGAAAGCCCGAGATTTTTTAAGTAGGCTATAAAATTATTTTCTAATAGGCTACCTATTATTTTCGATTTTTTGGGGGAGTCTATCAAATGTTCATCTCTTATATATGTTCATTTATAGCAAGAACATGTCATTTTATTTTACTCTACATTATTCTCATTATATTCCGTGGAAAGGACTCAAATTGTAAAACATCATGTGAGCCGTTCTAACTGCACGGACGGGTTGTAAAAGTGAGTAATATTCCTTGATCCGGCTTATGTTTGGCTATACGAAAAAACTCTTGAACATAGGCTATTATTTGCATATAGTTTGGAGTGCACAATTTATCAAATATCAATGAACATATTTAGTTGGAAATGATAAGACATTTGTATACAAAGACATTTTTGAATTGTTTTAATGTCTCTTATGAAATTTATCTGAAATGTATCTTAAACAAAAATCGAGAAAAGCACCTAATATGGTATCTTTTTTTTTTTTTTTCCCCGCATAGTTCAGGTTAATTGAAGTCACTATATCAGTCCGGACATCTTTCTGCCAGATTCAAGCGGTTGTTTCCACCTAGTGGTCGTCAAATTTAAAAAAAAAAAAAAAAAAACAATGTTTCTTGCCAGGATATTCATCATAAATAGTCATGAAATTAGCTCAATCTATGCACTTAATTAATGGTGTTCTTCAAGAAGTCAAGAGAAAATCTGTATTTTTCCAATTAGGCCTACCTATTTTATTTTCTATTACTCCTTTAAAAGGATGGTTTCTCGCAATATTTTCAATCACCTTAAATGTGCAACTACTGATATTAAATTAGGACCTCAAAGAGTTTAAATAATCACCGGGGTCTTATGAGATCAGTGATTCGGCGACTTGCAACATCATTTTATGGATAATTTATTTTATTGTTTATTTATAAAGCATGTGAGCTTGTCTGTTATCAGTAAAATACAATAACGTTACAGTTTGTTTAGAGTGTTAATTGTCACGTCATGCTTGCAAGTAATATGCAAGCATGTAAGTTAGAAATAGATTGTCACAGAAGTCATGACACCTGAGTAGTAAATAAAATAAGTACACTACTGACAATATCAGGACCATGCTATTATTTTGTTTGTAAAGTAAATAGCTCCATCTAGTGTTCTTACAACGACCTTACTAAAAGACCTGAATGCAAGCAAAATAACATCACTGTAAAACGACATTTGGGTTTTCTCAGAATGTCACATTGGCAAGACCCTCCTTTGCACATCCTTTGAAAAAGTGCATGTAGAAAACAGAATCCAGGAATTCTACAGACGAGTGTCAATAGTTCTCATCCATCATTATATTCCTCTAAAATTTTGGTTCAAAATTCTAGTTTTTTTTTTTTTTGCTATTATTTTTCTAATTACATAAGATCAGAATATGTTGTAAATATATGTTTTTAACATGCTCATTCACTCTTATGGACACTTGTGCACTCAGAGGTTTGCATTTAACATGTATAAAATCAATCAATACTATGTGGTGTTCTGATATGAGGAGGCAGACCTCCTCAGACTTTTTTTTTTTTTTTTTTTTTTTTTTTACAAATCAAATGTAAATTCATGTCCCAGCTACACTAAATGTTGTCAATTTTTTTTATTCTTTATACTACATAAAAAAAAACTATTCTATTTTTTACATTAATAGTGTAATACATTTTTTTTTTGCTGTTTATTAAAAAACAAGTATAAATCTCATGCTTGGATGAACATGTATTCCAAAACAATAACTAAAGGCAGCAACAATTTTATTTGTGAACTGATGTTCAGCAGTTCGTTTTAATAGTTAACTTATTTTATGATCATCAACTCGGTAAACACTGGTCAGACATGTAGCTTTAATTTCACCTCACTAAAAACCATCAGTCATCATGTCTTCAGGCCATTTCAAGTTTGATTTTGACATGACAAAGCAGTGATTTTTAAGTGGCTGAGCTGTTTACTTACTTTTTTGCAAACGCAGAACAAGCACTAAAACAAGAGACGGTGTCCAATCACAGCCAATCATGATGTGATGGAGCCATTGCCTCTTCTCATGTGACTTTCCCTAATTCATCCTCAATTACATCATGCAACACATGCATTAGGGGGTCTGTTGAAACTCAATGGGCTCAGGGGAGGCAAGAGAGTCACAGACCACCGCTGTAACTTTACCTGCGGGTGTCGCTGTTGCACAGTGGTTTAGAAAAGGTGATTTATGCACTTTTTAATGTCACATTTTGTAATATTTGCATTGTTTTATTTTTGTAATATGGATTTTTTTAGGAGGCACTGCCACCATTGACTCCTTGGAGGAAATGTCCCATATATATATATATATATATATATATATGTAAATGTATGTATGTATGTATGTATGTATGTATGAAAATCAAATTTATGCACATTCTGTTATGTGAAGAGTTTATAGCCAACAATATTTTAATAATCATAATCAACTGCTGCCGATCAACATATTCTTATAAAATTGATATTAAAGAACAAGAAATATATGACCTTGTCACTTAAATATGAAAATTAATAAAATATTTTAACAAATCAGATTTGAGTAAACCTGTTAAAAGAATGTCTCCTATAGGGTGACCAACAGTCCTGTTTTCCCAGGACATGTCCTGTTTTCATGTCCTGTCCTGGCCATCCTGGCTGACGTTTTATAACTGTCCTGGTTTCAAAAAACTGCTGCAGCTCTGCAATATATAGATGGGTGAACAAGGAGGATGAGGAAGAAAAACAGGATAAAGAGAAAGAAAACTAATGATATCAATATATTTTGTTTGTTTGTGTAAAGATGAAAATCATACTGAAAAAAATGCAATTCTCTTTTAAGACCCACAGAGAAGAGGATGTTCTGCAACATTTATATTGATATTAAGAATGTGTAATATTTTTACAGCTCAGAAGGGTAAGAGCACAGTATTTAGGTCAATGTAAATTTAAATTCCAATGATGAAATTGCTCCTGTTCACAAAATTTCTGGCAAGGGTATGACAAAATAATTTGAGGTCTCACTGACCAACCAGGGACCTTCTGCCATGATGATTGACAAGGAAGCCTGAGGCCTCAGGAAACTGGCCCCAATGACCAAATCTATAGTCCATGGTTGTGATTGTTCAGAAGGAAGGAAGGAAGATGCCATCACTGCCCCCTTTTTAGCAGATTTCACAATGAGGTTCTCTGGCTATTGTGTTGTGTGTGTATGTAATTATGTATTTGTATAGGTTTTTATATAGGTTTACATATGGAACAATAAACTTGATTTTAAAGTTGGCATGAAACAGAATTAGCGATAGTCTTTTCGTGATGTATATCCAAGTGAAAATTGTAATCAAGAAAAATGTAGGCTGGGCCTTAATTTTGTCCATCTGAAATTGTTTGGGTCGTTGATGGTTGTGGTTTGCTAATGCAGTGATTTCATGTGAGCGACAGGTTGATGCAAGATAGTGGCTGCGTCAAAAATCGCATACAGATAGGCTACTTATTTTGAGTAAGTAGGCCTAATTACTTAACAGCCGTCTAAAAAAGTATGTTTGGTTATAGTGTGTAGTATAAATGGACGTAACCTACTAGGCCTATCTGCAATACTGTCATGTAACCTTCCAGGGTCAGTTGTGTGGCTTTACTGCCATTCATCCTCTCCCGTGGTCCAGATACTTTTTGCCTATTCGGACATAGCCTGTGTAGACTTTTGTCACATACTGTTTTTTGCCCACTAGCCTATATAGTAGGGAAATATCCGATTTTGCAGCCGTTGTTGCAAGAGGGGGCAAGTTATATTTTGCTTAAATATAAAGATATATGAATAATGATCAATTAAAAAAAAATAATGATGTGGATATAGCTATTTAAATCTAATTTATAATAAATATGGAAATGTTCCATAAAAATTAAAAATGTTCAATTTTGATTTCATTGTGTGACTAACTTGCTGTCAGTAGGCACTTGGTTTTGAGACACAACCACTAAAAAGAAATAACCCTGACACAAATCCTCATATGTTGTAAGACTGTTTCGTAATGCCTTTTCCTCTCTATTCACTGCTTCCAGGATTTAACACAACATTTCCGCAAACCGATGCTGTGCGTAGACGTCAGGAGAGATAGAGGGAGTGAGAAAGAGGACATTTTGTAGAGAGAGAGAGAGAGAGAGAGAGAGAGAGAGAGAGAGAGAGAGAGGAGGTGGAGACACACACATACCTATACAAGTATTCAGTATTGATATACAGGCCTTTACGTTCATACTGAATATAACTTTCATTTTAGTCAGGATTATAATCGCTCGAACTGCTGGGATTCCGTTGGTCCATTTTAGAGGCTTATTTTCTTCGTTTCCTTTTCGGTCTTTTCTGGTTTCTGTTGGATCTTTAGTGTCTGGCTAGCGAGCACAGCTAACCGCAGCTAGCCGGATATTTCCTCTTTCCTCGGCCTCGGGAGCCCAGTACACCCACAGAATGGCATTAAAACGAATTCACAAGGTAAAATATTATATTTTATGTTAATAATTTTAAATTCACTGCCCAAACCCTTTGGTTTTTCGCTGGATATTTTATAGAAAGGTATAGCCTATGTTAACAATGCTATGAGGATAGCACAGGCTTGGCTAGTAGGCTGTTTTCATGTTAGTAGTATTATTTAGTATTATGTATAGTATTATGTTGTTGTTTATTGTTAACTTGCCTCAAAGGAATGCCTATCTATCTATCTATCTATCTATCTATCTATCTATCTATCTATCTATCTATCTATCTATCTATCAATTTGTTAATTCATTACATTTAGGCTAATACCCATAAAGACAGGTGCCACATTGTAATAGTTAAAGTTAAAATAACTATATGACATTCCTCATATTACTAGATAAAAACAGTGGAAATACTGGAATCAGATTTTAGGTGGTGGATGAGGGGGGTTTATGTGGATGTGTTTCCTCTGTGAGTCACATCCAGGTGAATTCAACCATATGGGAGTTCTCATGTTTTTACTCATGGTGTTGGTTCAGGCGAATGCTATTTATGAATCATCTCAGCCACAAAAGTTCTGGTTGGGACAAGGATTTGCATTACTGATTTTGAGTAAATCCTATGGGCATAAGCCTATTAAGATAAGATTGTTCTTATCTCTTTTAATAGTGATGTTATTTTATTTTGGTAAACGCAACAAGAACTTTGCGTCATTGCTAGAAGTGCTTCCTGGAAAGCTTCTATGAGCACATAATACTCCAATCAGATATATCCGGCCCATACCAGCATGAAGTAGTTGCACAATAGTTGTTGAACTTGGCGAAAGGATAATTTTCACCTGTTTCGCTGACTTTGAGAGCTTCTATGAATTAGACTGACACAGCAGATTGTTTGCAGGCAGATGGCCAAATACTGAGTTTGTCCAACTTTCTGTGGCTTGTTGTACCCATATCAATCAGTTTTCAGGTCTTTTTTGTTGTTTAATAGGGAAATGAAAAGAATGGCTGACATTGAAAGATGAGCTGATCATTTTGGAACAGCAACCAAGTGGCCACACAGACGACTAGTTGAAAATACCAGCAACGTGTAGACGTATCTCAAGTGGGAGGGCTGGTTTATTCCCCACACCCTCATCTGAAGTATGCAGACGTAAAAATAGCTGCTACTGTTAGTGCTGATATTCACACTGTCCTATATTGGTTGGCTGAATTGGTGTCGTACATTGACTGTAAAGGCTTCCTCCACATGTCATCCAGGCAGCTTTAAGGATGACAATTTTTGTTGATTTGGCATTTGTCTGTCAATTAACAATAGGCTGAAATGCTATCTACACAGACAGAATGGCCTTGATTTAACTCTGTCAACTTTGTTTTTCTCGTGTGGCTTGTGACTGACTGTTTAGTTTCTAGTTTAGACTGTTTAAGTTCCTCATTAGTACCTCAGAGATGGATCTAAGTGAATCTCAGATCCATATTGTTTGATTATTTTGCTTCTCGCAGCACAGATTTCCAACAATTTAATACAACTGAATTATACAATTTTTCTTTTTAAATTTGGAATACATTTTCTTATTATATTCTTATTTTATATTATAATTAATAATACTGTTTTTAATGTATCCTTTTTAATTGTTGCAGTCTGATTCATTTTATTGTCAAAAAGTAGAACAAAATTTGGTTCTTAAAATTGGTTGTAGGAGGACAATAATGTGAGGTGGTATGATACCGGTTAAAAAATAATATCAGTCTGTGGTTTTAATTTTTACCCATAATCGTTCAGGTCTGAGCAACTGATGTTCTCATAGGCATTTGTATGTTCGCCAACTGGTTTTGTATTTAGAGATGTGCAACCTGTCGACAGTATTATGACTAAACAGTGAGTCTACCTGTATTTGTTTTGATGTTTCCATCTTAGACATTCTCATCATCAAAGAAGGCTCTGACCTCTACTTCCTGTATGGTCACATGTTCACATGCACAGGCAAGCACTGCCAGAGGGTTGCCAGCACTTCGCATTCATGAATTCTCAGAAACTTGCCATTTTCTCAGAAGTGGTTTATATAGAGGCATGTCACTGTATTTTCTCGTGAAGAGAGACCGAAAGATCTAGAACGGTAGTTATTTCCTTGTTGTCTAAATGCCTAGGTGTGGCCAGAGATCGGAAGACTGGATTGCCAGGATTCAATTATTATCCTCCAATTTTGTTATTAATAATTACTGTATTAATAATGACAATATAGTTATTTCTTACAATATAAGAAACAAATTAAATGACTTTTTTTCATTTTTACATCTATTTAGGAGAAGGATTAAGACCATTGACCATTCTAGCGCAAATATTCCAGAATTCAGGATCGTATGCTGTCTGAGAAGCGTATTTTTGTGAGCGCTCTTATGTAACACATGAAATTCTTTTTCGTAGCTTATTGCACTTATCTCTGACTCTGTTTGACATCAAGCACATCCTGCACTTTATTTTCATATTCATGCATGTTCTTTTCATAAAAACCGAAAGGACATAAGTATACACATTTTTTTATAAACATAAGAGTACTTTATTTCAAATAAAACGGCACAATAATATGTAGGCTATAATTATAGGCCAATTTAATTCGATTTTTAAAAAATTGGTTCTTTTTTTATGCACGGATGCCGAGATGTCCACAGCATCGTGATGGATCATAAAAACTAGGTTATTCTATTCCAAAGCTAGGCCTATAGACCACCCTATTTCACCTAGAAATCTAGCCAAAGCAGAAACAGTGAAATCCGTGCTACCTGAAGACCTTGATCAAGTGCTGATATTGTAGCGAGTTGATTGGACAATATTGGTTTATTTAGGCCTATGACAATCTTAACATGATTTTTACAATTATTTTTGTATATATTTGTTTTTGATGCAATAATAATAAATTATAACTAAAACAATTGACAATAATATAATCTACATGATGCTAATATGCATTTATTATTTTTTTATCATTATTAAAATAATGCATTGTTTGCATCAAAAATACAGAAGATATTGTGAAATATTCAAATTTAAAATAGATGTTTTACATTTTAACATAATTTAAAATGTAATGTATTCCTTTGATTAATATTTTTCCGGGATTAACTTTAAAATAAATATAAATCTTTTAAATATTATAAAATGTATTTTTATAAGCACATTTTATAAGTTACTTTGAGAGTGATAGTATTCTTTAAAACCTTTCTCAAAATAGTACAAGTAAAAGTGTAAAAAAGAAAAAAATAAGATGATGTTTGTTGAGAGTGTGTGTGTGTGTGTGTGAACTTGAGTTTTGTTTCCCAACATTTTAAATCTAAGGACCAACTGCAGACTGTTTGAAATGTTTATTGGGGCAGCCGGCAGTGTGAACTAGCCATTAGACCAGCTTTTACTGTAGAGGGTTCCAATATCGGGATCAAACACTGTATCATTTATAGAATAGGCGAAAGAACTTCAATTGGTTTGACTTTATACTAACGATTTCGATTTCTTTAATTTCAGGCCATAAAGTCTGGTCACTGTGATTTTTGCCAAGACATGGTCCAAAAATATAGTCCTAAGCCTATCCCTATCCCTACTCCTAAACCTAACCCATTACTTATCCATAAAATCAGAGGGAAATATAGGAGAATAACACTGATGTAGAAGCATAACCCAGGTTGCAATCCTAAACTTGACATAAACTGTAAACTTGTCCCTCACATCTGATTGGTTGATTGGAATGTACTTGGTGAATCACATTATACTAGGTACATATGTCACATTCTGAGTCTGACAAGTGATCCTTTGATTATTTTTATTTTATTTTTTTTGCTGAACTTGCGGGTGTTTGTGTTTTAGGTGATTGTTAGGAAACCAAAAGAACATTTTGCAGCTTCTGATATTCTTTGTTAAGTTACATTAAGAAGACATCAGGACTGTCATTTCCTGCCTGTTTTTCAAGATTTGAGAAAGATGTCAGTATCAGTGAGGGGTGAGAGCATGTGAAATTAGAGGATAATATGTCCACTGTTCCTATCTTATTATGACACATGAGTCTCTGATTGTTCTCCTGGGTCAACAGTTTGGGCCTTGGGGACAGAAGAGCGTATACAGTTCATTAATTACGTGTTATCTGTCTGGAAGAGAAATGCATCTGGATTAAAAGGAAATGACTGAAGTCTAGATTTCAGCTTTTTAAATGGCTAAATGTGAATTATAGTAGAACCAGATAACTGACACAATGACTGAGAATGTACTTTGAGTCAAAACCCGATTGCTTATCCAGTACATTAAAAGAGACGATCAATCAGAGCATGGTACATTATAACTGGTGTCTTACTTGTCCTGATAGTGGATAAGACTCTTGCTGTAAAAACTACTGTAAATTATTATACATAACAACATTATGAACCAGCTGTGCAACTTCCTTGACACACCCACTGTGATGACTGATTGTTTGTTTGCACAGACCTTGTCTTGTATTATTGCTTAATTGCTTCAAACCAAGTAGGTTATTGGTTATTCAAAATGATTTTCCATGATGGTGTAATAGACCATTTTTTGACACGTTCCATGAAAGAATAAGAAAATGGTACACAAAAGATTCAGTATACAGTAGCACGTCACAGAAAATGTTATCTTAGCTAAGCTAAGTCAACTAGCTTTATATAATTATATCGATGATAATTTGTATATTTATATAAAATTAGCTTTTTTAAATTTTTTATCATCCCAGTCCCATTAAACATGGGAGTACAATGGAAAAAGTATTTTTCATTTTGCTGTTTTACCTCAAGAATGAAGAAATGTATGGAAACTGTATTGATTGATGGATAAAAGATGTCATAGTTGATGGGATACTCAGAATTAAGAAGAAAATAAATCCTCTCTGTCTTTAGGAGCTGACCGATCTGGGCCGGGACCCGCCAGCGCAGTGCTCAGCAGGGCCGGTTGGAGATGACTGTGAGTGATTTTGCTGTTTGTTTTCATTTTCTCTATCCGAGCACATCACAGAGCTCACCTTAATGAGACGTTTCTTGCTCTTTATTTGCAGTGTTTCACTGGCAAGCAACAATTATGGGACCTGTAAGTGGATATATGTCCTTATTTGCATATGCATGTTAATGATGGATTGTGACATTTATTTGCATGCAGTGTCTGGACTGTTATAACACTGAATTCACTAAAGGAGTCAAGGAAATCGTGTAACACTGTTGTTTTTTTTTTTCTTTTTCTTCACAGAATGACAGTCCTTATCAAGGCGGTGTGTTTTTCTTGACCATTCATTTTCCTACAGACTACCCTTTCAAACCACCTAAGGCAAGAATCAAGTATTTAAACAACATTTTAGGTTTAATCTGTCTGTAAAAAGTACATTTTAATAAGATTGTCAAGTTTTTAATGTGTTTTTTGGCGCATAAGGCTCAGACTTCAGGAGTTTCAAGCCGATTTATGACTGAATTACACCACCTGACATTTATCAGTCGGTTCCAAGGTTCGGCCCCGTTTATCTGGTAATGTGAGGCATTTACAGATCAAATCTCAAACCTCCTGATCTGCTCGCGGACACATCGGGCTGCCCCGACGACAATATTAAACATGTTTGATATTCAGGATTTTAAATCAGGATGATTATTACTATGATTATGTCAGTACTTAAGAGGAGAGAAGCGACGAGACTTTTAACAACAAACAGCTGTGAGAGTTCGGTGGACAACAGAGATGGAGGAACGGCTGGTCGAAATGTGGCAACAACACAACTGCCTTTTATAATGTCTCCTCATATAATATCTACAGCATGTTTCCGCAACACAGTATCCATTTTGTTTACATCCTCTTCCCTGTGAGATCACTCCCACTTTATATTAAGTGGCTTTAAGTACCATGTACTTACATTGAAACGAATCATTTGATACAATGGATTTATTGTGTACATGCATGTTTTTACATTGTACTTATATTTTAAAAATACAAGCATGTAATTACAGCTGTGACTAATTTATGTAATTACATCTGTAATTACACAGCTGACCCATCCCTTACACTTTAACCTATCCTTAAATCTACCCATACCACCACACCTGTCCCTAACCTCACCCTCAATAGCAGCAAAAGTGTTTTACAATACAACATGAGCACAATAAGTACATTATACTTATTTTTCAATGTAAGTACATAGTACTTAAAGCCGCTTAATATAAAGTGGGACCACTTAAATGTGATGCACCATGATTTTTAAATCTTGTAGTGTGTGTAGGTTTGAGATTTCAGAAGAATCTGCAAAAAGTCTCCTTTTGTGCGTGATGCAACCATATTTCACTATCGGTTAGGATTTCAAAACTCCTGCAGTCTGAGTCTGTCTTTATCAGTATTTTGCACATAATCAGGTTCCTGCTGCAATACTAGAAGGTTGGATTGAAATGTGTGCGTTCTGACCGTCTGTTTCAACCTCTAATTTGCAGGTTGCTTTCACCACAAGAATTTATCACCCAAATATTAACAGTAATGGCAGCATCTGTTTGGATATTCTAAGGTCACAGTGGTCTCCTGCGTTAACTATCTCTAAAGGTGAGTTCATTAAAATGAACAGGGAACAAAATCCTTTTTCTTAAGAGTCATTTGATTGGATAGCCAATATATGCACTGATGCACCTCTCTCTTCTTTCTGTTGCAGTTCTATTGTCCATCTGCTCACTGTTATGTGATCCAAACCCAGATGATCCATTAGTGCCAGAGATAGCACGTATCTATAAAACAGACAATGAAAAGTAAGTGTATTTGTTTAAATAAATCCAGGCTGTTTGTTCTTTAGCTGATGTGTAAATCATAGAGATGCCTTTTAGGTAGGGGTCTTACAAGATCTTACCACAAGGTATCGCGATATTTCTCGTCGAGGTGAAAAGCTGTCTCACGATATCAGGATGACGGAATTGAATTTGTGGCAAAACTCCTTCTGAAGTGTATATAATAAAGGTTGTAAAATAATTGCCTAATATCAACTCTACTTTGGTGCTGCAAAGATATGAGCTGCCTCAGCGGTCCAACACCCCTCGTCTATGTCAAATTGTTTGAGATGACAAATCAAATTAAAGTAGGTGGGCTTTATGTTCACAAAAGCGTCTGAGTGCGAAGCACCGCTTCAGTTAACGGTCATAGTGCGAGATATGATGTAAGTACAGCTGTTTTATGATAACTGGTAAAGAACTGAGAGATAATCAGGGATGCAAAATAATAAACTTTTGTCTAATTTTACTATTTATTTATTTTTAAATATATTTTACATTATTCACGTAATGTAATTCGTTACTGTCGACGAGACGAAATATTAACATTAAGTCGTTTTCACCAACTCTACTATCAAGCAAAAATTTTTGAAACCTTGGTATTTACACTACAACCCTCTGGTGTTTATAAAAGATGATTAGTTAAACCGTTACAAAATGCACCTGCATTATTTAGCATTTTGTTACTTTTTTTCCAGTCTTTTATTCTTGTTCAAGTCTTGTTCTTGTGGAACCAATATCGTGTTTCATCTCAAGCTAAGTGCATCATCATTCACAGACCTACTTTAAGGTTGTGTGAATAGTTTGATGTCTCCTTTCAGGTATAATAAACTAGCCAGGGAATGGACAGAGAAATATGCCATGTTATAGGGGTTAAGGTGAGCAAGGTATCGTGGGAGAGTGTTTTTGTGCGAGCATGAAAAAGGCTTACTAATCTCTGGACGTCACCGTGTTGCAGAATTGTGTTGGGGGTGATTGCATGGGGACAGGTGGGGCACGAACCCTTCCCTACCTTCAAAGTAGGGAATGGTAGAAAAAGTTTGCGAAACACTGTCTTAAATTATAGTAATAGTTCAAAATATTACAGTTTTTACTGAATTTTTCATCAAATAAGTGCAGCCTTGGTAAGCACAAGAGAATTCAAACCCCAAACTTTTGAATGATAGTATATGGCTGTTGAAAATGTCTTTTTAGTTTTTGAAAAGTAATTTTTCTTCCTACTGAAATTAACATTATGCATGGTAAATGTTTGCAAATAAATTTGATTGATTTGTAATATATATATATATATATATATATATTACATTGTGTGTGCGTGTATATATCAATTTTAATTAATGTTAATGTTTTCTGAAATGTGTTTTTCCAGAATAATTTCGGAATTATTATTTTGATTGTGATTTAATTCATTTTCATGACTTGTGGAAATAAATGATAAATTAGGCTATTTATATGAAAAATTAAGCAGTTTTCACACAAACCAGCCAGTTGTGTTTTAAATGTACATGGTTTAACTTTCAAAGGTCATGCATACAAAAATCCGATCTAAATATGTCTGGTTTTATCATCGGTCTGATAACAAAACGTTTGGTTGAGGTAAACCGTTCAGGCTAACTAGCATCAACGTAAATACTAGTATAAGTAAAGCTTAGAGTCGCAGTGTACACATGGAGAAGATGCCACTGTGTTTGACCTTGAGCTGTTTCTGCACTCTGTGTGTTTGTGTTGGCCAGTGCCGAGTTGGCAGACGGTCTGCTTACCCAGCATGTGTGACAGTGCCTCTGCACCAATGCCACACTTCATCTCTCTTTCTTTCTCTTGCACAGGTACAACAGAATAGCTCGGGAATGGACTCAAAAGTACGCCATGTGATACCCGAGGAACATCAGACCAATCTGCAGTTTAGCTGGAAAAAGAATTGAACAACTTTTTTTTTCGTCCCCTCAATGAATCGACAGTTCCCCTTGTATTCAGACAATATCAGTTCTGCTTGTTTTTTTGTTTTGTTTATTTTTTGTTTTTTACCCCCTTTCAACCTTCATTCACATGCTGTAAAAAAGAAAAAAAGACCACAGTATTGCAAAGATCACCAACTTTTATGTTCAGAAAAATGCTCGTGTCAAAGAAGCATGTTTTAACTACGAGCTCAGACCTTTTTTTATTGAGATAAGAAAAAAAACATAAGTAAGGTGAACGCTTCTGACTCACGCCACTGGCTAGAGGTGCTATTTCAGAAAAAGAAACAACGATCCTGCAGGTGCCAGCGTACCTCAAAAAGTCGATCTTTCTTCATGTTTTTATATGCTTTTACAATAGCAATGAGAAGAACTACGGTCTGTGAAATATATTCTTGCTTATATCTGACTGTTTCTTACCAAATCAGTCACGTCATTGTATCAGCAGTTACGGAAAAATATATATTTTGCATGTTAATGGAACAGTTTAAAGTAATTGGTCTGTGGTCTGCCAAAAATGAATATCTGCAGACGATGTTAAGCAAATACATGTCCACTTTTAGAGTCTTGAGAACTTATTTTGTTACTCCTTTTCTCTCCTCTTTTTGATGTTTTTAGAATGGGGAGCTATTAGTTTGTCGATCCTCCTAAACACTGTTCTCTCATTGTGATTGGAAGCTCTCAATGGATGCCCGATCAACTAATAGCTCCGCTAGCTGTTCATTTTGTTTGCTCAATAAAGTTGCTAAACTATCATTTTGTGTTTCCTTCTGAGAGAAGTCCTTTTGAGAACCTTAATTGCACTTTTCATTTCACTGTATTCCATATCTGGGACAATACTGTTTCAGGAATGAATGGAATTTGATACTGTAGTTGTTGCTAAAATGCATGACCCATCGTCCAAATGAGATCTCTCAACAACTGCTGGACTATAATTAGTTTTCTGAAGGAGGGAGCCCAATTGTGAGGTGAATAGCAGCTATCCAACACCATTGTAGTTGTCACTGATGTATATGTGGACAGATGTAGAGGAGTGCCCACAAATGATTGACACTTAAACAGGTCCAAAGTATTTATTTTTGCTGAACTTAGATGGTTTAGAAGGCCTCCCTATAAGCCTAAAACCTCTTTAAGGATATGGGACCTGTAAACCATTTTAGACTCTTTGTTTCCATGTTCAAAAACAGTAAATGAAATCAGGTTCATCCACATGTGGGCGCAAGAGGACGTTTTTGAAAGCAAGACATGAACATGAGTTACGTCAGGGAATTTCCAGTAAGGAAGTCAAGCCGTCTATTCAAACGTCGCGTTGATCTCGACATGATTTACTGTGATCATTCGCGACCGGCGATTAAAATCGATTGATCGATCGATGCGCCTTTTAACCTCAGTGGGCCTTCTGCTATCCATGTCTGGCAGACGCAACGATCTTCCTGAATAAGGAGCCTGCACTGAACTGACTTTCTATGAGCTTACATTAGTTGACTTCAGCGCAACATGGAGAAATAAGTTACGAATAAGAAAGCTTGACTCGGAATCCCAGATCCCAGCTGTTTGATGTTGATCCTGAACCACGAATATCTGTCGGGAAAGGTAAGCACCCTCGTAGATCCAGCCATGCTTGTTGTCTTTGAGTTGCCCATGTTGCCATCTAAAGGTTGTTGTGATACTACTTATCAAGTGCTGCTGAACTTCCTAGTTCTTGCCTCAGAGGCCAAATGCACATTTCAGCTCTCAAGGACTTTTGATCAACTCGTTTGGGTGAGTAAAAGCTACTCATGATGCACTTAATGTGTTTGTGATGGAAGTTAGTCAGGATTTGATAGTACAAAGTTTGAGATAAGTGACTGTTATGTGTTGTGCTGGCCGTGTGTCAAAATCTATCAATAAAGGCTGTGGGCATCAAGGCGCATTCAGTCCGAACATCCGGAGTTGGTCAGAATATAAGTTTTATTCGAATTTCAAATCTGTTGTTCCAAACGCGCGAGATCTAGTTTGTTTTATATGAGCTTGGATTTATTAGAGTCTAGTGTCATTCGGTGTTTGAGACGAGTAGCCTAGTAACTGAGATTTTGATTAATTTCAATAACGCTAATAATGTTTTAAACGCCTCAAATAATTTGCTCACCGATTCGTTCAGTGAACGATTCACAAAACCAGCAGTAGGTGGCGACTCCGAGACAATTTCTGTGAGTGATTCACTTGATCTACTCAACCGATTCCCTACAAATGACAACAAAACCATCATCGCATCCATCGCAACTTTTTTTGTTTGTTGTTATAAAATAAAGACAGAAAAATATCAGGTGCCTGCATAACCTAACATTCTGTCATTAATTACTCACCCTCATGTCGTGTAACTCGTAAGACTTTAGTTCACCCAACTTTAGAACACAAATGAAGAACTTATTAATAAAATCTGAGAGCTTTCTGTCCCAAAATAGACCACTAGACAACTGACACCTTGATGCTTCAAAAAATTCAATCACAGATCAAAAGAGATAATAAAAATAATCCCTATGATTTGAGCAGTTTTGTCCAAATTATCTGAAGTGACTTGATCGCTTTATATGATTTATATGATGAATTTAGGCTTTTATTCACATATAAACGTTGATCAGCGACCATAAACAGAAGCTCAATCGAACCTGCTAGAGTCGCGAGAACAAACCTCATTGGTTCTTGTCAAAGCTCAAAAGAGCCGCGTAAAACACAAGAATGAACCTCATTGGTTCTGGCGTGTCAAGCAAACATAAGCTTCGGTTTACCTCAACTGATGTTTGAGTTGATGAATGTTTAGATGTGAATAAAAACCTAAATTCAATCTGTTCAATAAAGCGATCAAGTCTCTAAATGAAAATTGATCAAAACTGCTAAATTCATATCAGTTTTACGATCTCTTTATGATCTTTTTGAAGTGTCAAAAGTGTTGCGTGGACTGTCAATCTCTATTGTGCACATTCCTTAAAGGAGTAGTTCACTTTAAAAGGAAAATTACCCCATGATTTACTCCCCCTGAAAGGAGTATATGGCATTCTTCTTTCAGACGAATCCAGTCGGACTTATATTAATAAACACCCTTACGCTTCCTGAATCCTAGCTTTATGCTGCGTTCACACTGAACGCGAATTGAGCATCTGGAGCGAGTGATTTTTCCATGTTAAGTCAATGCAATTTCGTCTCATTCGTGTGTCCAGTTCAAGCGAAAAAGGCAAATGGAGCTTCTGGCGCAAGTGATTTTATTTGGTGCTTTTTGTGCAATCACGCGTTTGAAGCGAATTCGCGTTTAACGCCCGAGTTGAAAAATCTGAACGTTGGCGTCTGTTCGTGCCGTGTTAACCAATCAGGAGCCTGCTTGCAGCTGTCAAGTAGTGAAATGACGTTATAAACGGGGGCAGGTCTGCTCAGAGTCACATGGGTGATTCTCGCTCCGATGCGGGACAACAGGTCATCAAACTGGCCGCGGGACAGATGGAAGTACAACTGAAAGCGGCCGTCATCCTGGAGCAAATTGGTGAAACTCGCCAAACTGGGTACGCCTCCGGAGGGTCTGGCGACAATGAGCCATATGCTCCTGTTCTGCTCTCCAGAGCAAAACAGAACGGTGACTCTCTCAATGACAACGTTACCGTCTAGCACTTGCCCCTCCCACAAGAAGCAACTTTCACCTCGGACGCGTGTCCATTTCACTTCAAACACTTGGTTTAAACGCGCCTCCATGCTTTGGACGCGCGAATGGATTCAAAATGTTCAAGCATCCAAGTAGACGTGAATTTGACACTCTATTCGCGTTTGGTGTGAACAAAGCATTATAATGGCAGTGGATTGCAACCGTCTATGGCTCCCGGGGGGTTAATAAAGGCCATCGGAAGCAAAGCGAAAATTCATATTTAACACGTTACAAAGTAATATTCTAGCTTCCGGCTAAACTGTCATACGCTCTACTTGCGTCTAAAGCGAAACTTATGATGTCGCAAGTAGCGTAGTGCATCATGGCTAGCGTAAATATCAGTGCATTACTTGCATAAATTGCGAAGTTGAATCCGTATATTCGTTTGACCGGAAGCTAGTTACTTTGTAACATGTTAAATATGAATATTTTTTTTGCACAAACTCGCTTTGCTTCAGAAGTCCTTCATTAACCCCCCAGAACCGTGTGGATTTCTTTTTATGATGGATGGATGCACTTTTTTGAGCTTTTAAACTGATGGTTGCAATCCACTGCCACGATAGAGCTCGGAAGCGTCAGGGTGTTTAATTATTAATATAACTCCGATTGTATTACTCTAAAAGTCATATACATCTAGGATGGCTTGAGGGTGAATAAATCATGGGGTAATTTTCATTTTAAAGTGAACTACTCCTTTAAGGGAGCATAGGGCCTTTCAAAGGAGGGACAGAAATCTCTGAGATTTCATTAAAACGATCTTTATTTGTGTTACGAAGTAGTCGTGTTTGGAAAGACATAAGGGTGAGTAATTAATGAAAGAATTGTTGGTGAACTAATAATTGTATGGTTGGCCATTAGTCATTGATTTAAGACGTTTAAGATTTCCATGAAACAGAAGTTGTGGTAGTCTTTTCTTCTCTATTGTGACATATCCAAGTGAAACGGCTTCTGGAACATGAAAAAAATGTAGTAGGTTGAGGACTTGATTTTTTCCGTCGTGAATTAACGTGCACGGACTATTCCATAAATATTAAGAATTGTCCATTTTGATTTCATGGTGACTTTAGTGTCCTTTACTTGCAAAATCCAGATTTAGCGTTTAACATCACCCTCATATTCTCCATTTTATATTTTCAGTGTTTGACTACTTTTGGACATGACTATTTCCTGAAAATGAATCATAAATTAATTTGTTTTACTTTTCTTCTTAGGAATCATGGCTGGAGAGGACACATACCATCCGGGGGTGAGGAAATGTTTTCTACAACGTTTGGAGTCACAGTTGCCATTCGAAACTTATTTTACTTCAGAAATCTGACATTTTTCTGACATGAGTAACTAAGCTCAGTTTTGATTTCATGTTAACTTTAAGCTTCTGTTGCTACCTGCTGATTTATTTATAAAAAAATGTTTATTGTCATGAAGACCACATAGATAGCAGACAAGCGTACAGGTAGCATGAAGCTTATACCTTACATTTATCTTCACAAGGTAAACATGGACCACAGAGCTATAACAGATTTATGCCTTTGAAGGCACATAAGCCTGATAGTAAATGATTAAATTTGAAACGGGACATATTAATTTCTGCAAATACCACAGCATCACACAGGAAGTGTCTCTTAGAAAGCTGAGGAGGTGTTCGTTTTTCCTGCCTACTGTGGTTGATATTTCACCCCTAACACAGCAGCTTTTAGATAGATTGAGACAAGGGTTTATTCAGTTTTGAATCCACATATGTCTGTCTAGTGTCTGCACTCACTTCATGCATCTTACACTTGCTAATAATCTGACTCCTAAATTCAAACTCTCTTCTTATGCTACACTGGAAAAGCTCTCTGTGTTTATGGCACAAAGTCATGAAGCTCTTTCTAAAGTACGTTGTAGCTTAAATTAAATTCTAAACGTTTACAAATGTCCGAATTTCATGCATGAATAAGCCTTTATTAAAAATCAATTCTCTACAGTATAAATGGGAACCGGCAAATAGGATTTATTATGCTGTGTGTTTTTAGTAATTCTAAAATTATGCTTTTTAATGTGATTTAATATGTTTACATGACAATGCATAATATGGATATGACCAAATTATAAATATATGATTAATAATATGACTATTCTTGGGCATATAAACTCATTGTTTTTCTTTTTATACTCTGAAGTTCATGGTGGAACCAATTGAATTCAATAACGAAGCATTGTGGATGAACATGGACCCGACACCATTTCCAGGCATTCACAACAATAATGTTATGAGGACAGGTAAGAGTTTCCTTTCAGTTCGAGTTTTATTAAACTTGTCGTTCAATCAAAGTCTTAAATTCACCATGAATCAAAAGTTGTGATAATCTTTTTGTCGGCTTTTAAAACGGCTTCTTGAGCATGAAAAATTGTAGGGCGGGACTTGATCTGGTAGGAAATGATTGGATGGTTGTGGTTTGCTATTACTGTGATGTAATGTATGTGAGTGACAGGTCATCCCGCCCTCATGCCCTCATGAGATGTTGCTGCAAATGGGAGGGAAAGTTATTTTGATTAAAGATTAATAGGCCACATGAACAAAAATGATACAGATACATCATTTATATACCTATAATAAATACGGCAATATTCCATAAAACAATAAAAATTGTTCAATTTGATTTCATGGTGACTTTAATCATAAGATAATTTGCTGAACATTGGAGAATGGATGCAGTAACACTCACTAGCCTGCATTTCCTCTTTTTTTCTTGCTCTATTCCTTCCTCAAGAAAACAGTAACGCTGCACCATAAGATTCAGTCAGAGGTCTAAATCTGATAAACTGCACAGTCTAGCTGTGTTAAAAATCCCTCACTCAATGATGTCAGACGCTGTCGTGTATTATTTTGGTTGTCGCTATAGGAGGAGATCTATTTTTTCATGCATTTTTCACTTCCTTATTGTATTGCTACAGAACCCGAGAAGTCACCTGTGGGAAAAAAAAAAAAAAAATTAAAGTTTCACAAACAAACAAAATTTTGACGCACATCATTCATATTAAATCATCTACTCTATTCCAACATATCCCACCGTTATTGTGGAGCGCGCCGAATCTATCACTTGCGTTGTCCAATCAACAACAGTGGAAACAACTTCAAATACTAATACATAATTTATGGTCATACAGAAAAGAATAATACATAATTCGCAACCACTTTTTTTCTGAAAACTCACAACAACAAGAAAACATTGTGCTTTTGTAAAATAAAAGAAAACAATCAGGGCGGGCTTTCATGGTCTCAATGAACTGAAAAACAACGTATACTAGCCTCACATATACAAATACCTATATAAAGGTGGAAATGTCCTTTTAAATGAACAAATTCGTATCGAAAGCAAATACCATAATCCATATGAAGTGATCATTTCTCTCTAAAGGCACATCTGCTTCACAACAGAGATTTGCAGCCGACACTGATTTAGAATAGGCTATATTCCTCCATGCACCCAGTATTTAAGCAGACATTAATATAAACGCGGCTTAAATGAATGACTACTAGTCGACTATAAAGATCTAGTTGACATTATTTACTTCTGTAGCTCTTTACATTAAATTAGTTGACTGTTTTTAAGGTTACAATCCTTTATACGTGTGAATATTATACTCTATCTTGAAGATTGTTGTATTGTATCTGGGTCATTCTATGGAAATGTAAATTTTTCTTTCCTTACCCTTTACAGAAATATTACACTTGAAAAACACTTTAGGGTTACAATTGCTTTAGATTTTAAAATTAAACAATGTTATTTGAACAATTACATATCCATGAGCCATCAATGTGTCAATATTTCTTTTTGATTTATTATATAATTCAAAGCACCACAGAAGTGCTCATACCCCACATGTACATGTCATGTACAGAGGGAAAATGCTTTATTTTTATTTTTTTTTATTTTAAAATATAATAATGTATACATAACTATCAAATATATTAAAATGACATTAAAAAATGCTGAAAAAAATATTATACAATTTATAATGAAAGTAGTTGTCCCCTGGAGGCGTTGTCACGTTTAAACAAAAATCTCTTATTTTGAAATAAATCACACTGATGACATTATTTGACTTCCTCCTTCCAATTTCCTGAATATCTATGAAGAAATACCCATAGTAAATCCACTGTATCTTTTCATTTTTCATATGAAGCTTTTATTTGAACTCACATTGAATATTGCCAAATAAATAAAGTAACATCACCAGTGACAAAAAAATGGTACATGCAGTATTTACATAAATGCCCAAAAAAATATAAAAAATCATTAAGGTGTCATTTATTTGTGTTTTCATAGTCAAAGGGTAATCTAATAATGTGGTATAAGTTTCAATGTTAGAAAAAGAAATTAATTTTAAGAATTTTGTGGACTTTTATGTAGAATTACCAATATTATTTTAGAAATATGAAGATTGAATTTGTTGAATAAGCACATAATGTAAAAATAAACAACTTATGTTCTCTTCTTCTAAAACGAGGGCGGGCCACAAATCAAAGTTTACAAACCCGTTGGAACGGATTGCGAAAGCGTGGGCACGGTTTATGAATTTTTGGGAACATATTGGCAAAACATAAGGTACGGTTTACCAATATGAGAGCGTGGATTAGGAACTCGTGAGTACGGTTTATTAATCCGTGGGTACGATTTGTCAAACCGAGGGAACAGTTTAAGGATTCGTGAGTACGGTTCTAAAGGGCTGAAAAAACTATCAACAGCTCTTCACCGCCATGTGGTTACTTGAGAAACCCGCTTTGAGATAAGTGCAGTTTTGGGTCTGCCACTTTTTGACACACTCTCTTGATCTACCTGAGCATGCCTACACAGCTCCGAAGAAGTCTGTACAGTTTGCTTAAAAATGTTCACTCAATTCTAACAGTGTCATTGATTTCATGATGATTGATTTCAACAGGTTTTGGCAAGTGTCCAACTCATGCTGTTTGATTGACAGCTTGATTGATTGGAAAGGGAGCGTTCTTTGATCGCTTTCTTTAAAGATTATTTTCATATTACTAAGAGAAACGACATGAAGTTGATTGTTTGGTCACTGGCTTGATTAATCGAATCAAGTTGATTTACTCTTTCATAAATAGTATTGAACGATTTTAAGAGATAATCTGTTTGAATTTGAATAATTACATCAGAAATCACTGATCACAGATCAGGCATTAGAATAAGCATGACTAGCCTAGCCTACTTGCATATTTGTGGCATTGCTGGCAGATCCATATCGTAAAAGTCTGTTTGCAAAGCCTGGATTGTTGGGAAAAAAAAAAAAAAAAAACACTATCCTAGCATTATGAAGGTAATGGTATTGATCCTGGGTCGTTCTTTTCTTGTTCATATGTTCACTAAAGGCCAATTTATACTTCTGCGTAGGGTGCGCGCAGTAGGTACGGCGTAGCATACGCAGAGACGCGTCCCATACCGCGTACCCTTCGCCGTAGCCTGACGCATACCTCCTCAAAAATGTAACTACATGTCGCGACGACGCGGACCGCAAGATCGGTGATTGGTCGAGCTTGGTAGCATCGCATTTCCTCCTACACATTTCCGCACGTACCATCTCCTCCGACGTCTTCTCTCATTTCTGCCTTTCAGTTTTAGTAATTTTACTAAAATTAACTGTTTTTCCACCTCAATGAGCTCCAACTCCAACATGATCCGCTCTCTTGTAGGCTTGTAGTAACCTAGCCGCAACTCGAGGAATCTAAACAGTGGAACATTAAAACCCTCCGCCGCCAACTAGTGTTTCGGAGCAGTACTGCAGAGCAACCAAGTCCAAGACCTGAACGCAGAAGTATAAATGCTCACATACACTACGGCGTACCCTCGACACAGAAGTATAAATTGGCCTTAAAGCTCCAGTGGGCGGGGCTAAAGATGCAGTGAAGTTGACGTAGGCATTGATGTTCTTCTGCAAAGGCGGTCTACAGCTGCCCTGTGACGTCACAATTCTCCCTTTTTAGATTCTGTCGTTCTTGACCTTGGTTTCAATAAAAGCAGTTTTTGGAATAACAAGAAAGTTTTGAGTTTGGAGACTTTCAGGTTATTTTTATAGTATGACGAACTCTGTCAAAGGATCGAGAAACATATGAATTCTCAGTCTATGACCCTTTTAAAGATTGATTAATCTAAGATTTATTCTTGTCCATTACAAGAATGGAGAATTCGTGTTGTTTTTTAATGGAATATTTAATTTAACCATGCACATAATTGGGGGTGGTGATGGCGTAGTGGATAAGACACATTCCTTTGGTGTGAGAGACCCGGGTTCGAATCCACTGTGTGAGACACCAATGTGTCTCTGAGCAAGACACTTAACCCCTTAGTTGATCCAGAGGCGTGCGACCTCTGACATATATAGCAATTGTAAGTCGCTTTGGATAAAAGTTATAATAAATGAAATGTAAATGCAATAATTGTTTGTTTTATTTATGTGGCCTCTTAATATTTAATCAAAATAACTTTCCCAACATCTCTTCTCTGATGATGTGTTTACTGGCATGAGGGCGGGACAACCTGTCACTCACATGACATCACAGCAATAACAAACCACAACCATCCAATGAACAAAATCAAGTCCCGCCCTACATTTTTTTTTTTTTCTTCTTCGAGAAGCTTACACTCAGATATGTGTCACAATAGGGAAGAAAAGACCATCTCAACTTCTGTTTTATGCTGACTTCAGGTTTCAACTGGTGGGGTTATTAAGGAAGGACATCACATTAACTGCAACCAGCATCATTTATTTTCAGTAAGAGTTGGTAATTACAAGAGAGCAACACAGTCAAGCAACTTAGGTTTGAGAGCAGAGTTCAACTTTTGATAAATAAAAAAATATTGTATTGTAAGTTTTCTCAAGCATGCAGTGGCACGATGTGGCATTTACCAGATAGTAGCAAAAGCAGATAGTGATACAGCTGGCGGTCAAGTTGGAGCACCAAGAAAGAGTTGCTTAAAGCTTACTACTCTGTTATCAGATGGTGTGTTCAATGTTCAGTGCAACAAATGATGTATTTCTATTTAGAGTTCAGTGCACCTGTGGTTTTGACATCTGCTTTAGACTTGATGGGTAAATGTTGGAAATATGATAATGATATACATTATGCCATATATAACCAAATAAATGACCTGGCTGTCCCTGTTATATCAACATTTATAGATCCGTTCCATTGTGTCAGTGCGTTGGCAGAGGTGTACACATTAAAGTTTGGCTCTAAGAGGTTCAATTCTGCAAATTTGGCAGCAGATTGATTTAGTTGCGTTTCACCAAGGATGTGGTCTTAGTCCTTATAGTGCACAGGAAGAGGAAGAGGCTTGCATCTTCTGTGGAAACACGTGGTGCGGCGAGAGCTATGGCCTTGAAATATCTGCAGAACATCAGCGAAAGTTTTGATATGCTTGATGGTTAGAAAGTATGCATGGTAATCCTGATTTTCCCACACCTGGTTGAACCTTTCAGCTAGTCATGTTTGCTTTTATTGCTGTTTGCATTGTAGCGTGACATGCACACTATAAGCGGGATTACTAGAGAATAACCACAAACGGTTCTCAAATGAACAGTTCTCAATCAAACCACAAACATTTCTTATTATTATCAATGTTGAAAACAATTCTTGCAGATTAATATTGATGATTAAAAATTGATTCATATCTTTGTGGAAACAATGACGTCTCTTTTTTTATTGCTCTGTATTGAATAGAAAGTTCATAAGAACAGTCTTTCCTGTCACTGTTTATCAATTTAATGCACCCTTTATGAATAAAAGTATTAATTTATTTCAAAAACAATTTTACTGACCAAAAACTTTTGAATGGTAGTTTATGCAACTGTCTAAAATTTAAATCACAGAATATGTACAGTAATAACTACGCAATTTAGTTCATCCTTAAAGGCCAAAAATGAAAATTCGGTCATGATTTACTCACTCTCAAGTTGTTCCAAACCTTTATGAGCACAAAAGAAGATATTTTGAAGAATGTCATTCCTTTCTACTATGAAGCACAAAAATAGATATTTGACACAACGTTCATGCCACACCTTTGCCATGTGATGCTTTGTGCGAGGTACACACTGATGTTGTTTTTGCTGCAGCTTACAAGTTTTACATTTCATTTGAAATATGATTCAGATGAATCCATCAAATCATTTTTGGCATCAATGATGCTTAACGGAATTGGTTGTGTTTAGGGCTGGGCAAAAAAAAAAAAAAAAAAAAAAAAAAACGATTTTACGATTAATCGTTTTTGTGGTTAAGTGGTTAATTAATAAACTGTTCTTTTTTATAAATATTTACAATTTGTATTACATCTATTTTCATTGTAGTCGAATCAAGAATCGAATCAGGAATCGAAATCGACTCGAATTGAGAGCCTGCGAATCGAAATCGAATCGAATTGAGAGCCTGTAAATCGAAATCGAATCGAATTGGAACATCTGAATCGATATCCAGCCCTAGTTGTGTTTTAAAACCATTTATGATCCTGCATATATAAAGATAATTAAGAAGGACTGCAGAGTTGAATATTAAGAGAACAAATTAGGGAATTTTCACTTTACAGTTCATCACAGTTTTTTGCATCTCTCCTTTTGCAGTCGACGGACCTTATCTGCGAATCATCGAACAACCAAAACAGGTAATGCACATAATATTTGGGCAAATGCTCTTGTTAAATGTTTTCTTGCTTCTTCAAGTGTTTTTAGCTGTGTAATGGCTCAAAGGTTCAGAAGAGACTGGTAACTCTGGCAACAGGCAGTGGCAATAACAAACTCAGTGTAGCACAACATTAATTCTGACGTTGTCATCTCCAGAGGGGCTTCAGGTTCCGCTATGGATGTGAAGGCCCTTCCCATGGAGGACTCCCAGGAGCCTCCAGCGAGAAGAACAGGAAGTCGTACCCACAAGTGAAGGTATGGTTCAACCAGTTAAAGCTCTGCTCATGCTTTGCGATAAACATACCATTTTTCTACAATTTGTTCTGTTTGGGCAATATGGTTTTGATTGACAGGATAAAACTATGTTCTGAGATTGTATTTCTCCACAGTTAATCAAGCTGAGTAGGCTATTATTTATTTGTGGTCTTGGCAGACTTTATCAGCTTGAATAAATTATATATATATATATATATATATATATATATATTATTAATATATTGCTTATAATCAGCAAGGATGCATTAAATGTATCAAATTTGACAGAAAAGACATTTTATAATTTTACAAAACTTTCTGTTCATCAAATAATGCTGTAAAAATATGTATCACAGCAGCACAACTATTTTCAATATATTAATAATAATAAGAAGAAGAAATTATTCTTTTTCACCAAATCGGCATATTAGAATGATTTCTGAAGTATCGTGTGACACTGAAGAGTAATGATGCTGAAAAATCAGCTTTCCCATCACACAGTAAAATACAGTATATTCCAATAGAATGGTTTTAATTTAACACAATCTAAAAAAATTAAAATAATCTTACCGACCCCAAATTTCCAGTGTACATTGTGTGATTGGTAGATATAATGTCATTGGTGACATTTGCATCCTGTATTCTTCCTTATGCTTATTACTGAAGTGTGATTGGTCTTTTTGCTTAGGTATGGATCATCATATTAATTCTTACCTAAAACTTTAAATTAATAGTTCACCTAAAATAAAAATTCTTAATTTGCTTATCTTTGATGTTTCTTAAGTTGAACACAAAAGATGTTTTGCAGAATGTTCATGCTTTCCTTTTTGTAAAATGAATTTTAAACAGGAGCTGTTAAGCTCCAAAATCCCTTACGTTTTGGCCTTTTTTTTCTCACAAAGCTTGTATGGCTTCAGAAAATTGTACATTTTTGAGTTTGACACTGACAACCAATGCAGCTTCATTGTATGAAAGAGCAGCATGAACATCCTACCTAATATCTTTTTGTGGTCTACAGAAGATAGTTCACGTCATGACAGTGAGTAAATAATGACATCATTGTCTAAATACTTGTTTTACAAGGTTTTAATTGCAGGAAATGCGTATCTATTTTGCATAGTTTTGAGATCTAGAGAGAAAGAGAGAGAGAGCTGTCTGACATGGCGGCTCTTTCATCAAGTGATAAATCCAAATGACGCAATATTTGCTCACGAAACTCGGCTAAGAATAGTAGCTGCTTATTTATAACAACTGTCTGTCTGTGCCAGGGCAGTTATTTTAAGGTCAAGGTTTCGAAAGTGAGTGAAATGAAACAAGGAAAGAGAGGGGAGAAATGAAAGAAGGACTTTGTTCTGTGATCATGTTCTTCTTCATGACGGCAGTCTGTTTGGGAATTTCCTCACTGTGTCACTGGGTTAATTAGTGGGAAGAATCGTTCTCTGTAATGTGGCGTCAGATATGGGATATCTCGCCCCGACAAGCACACATTAAAGAGGTGTGTGTGTGTGTGTGTGTGCACTTTGCACATACACCTCCGGTTAAGTGTGGGCTTTACTGGGACTCCAAATTATTGATCAGATCAATTTTATTTGGTGTGCATTTATGTTGTATATGGTAAAGGGGCGTGACTGACAAAACATGTTCAAATCGGTTGACCAATCACAACACACTGGTCCAGCCGACCAATCAAAGCACATTGCGATTTTAGGAAGGATGGGCTTTATGGAGACCAGAACTAAATGGAGCGATACTGACAGACTAGGAATAGAGATGCTGCAACAATGACAAATACGTGAAAAACAATGTTTTTTTTTTTAACATACAAGCATGAAAACCTTTTCTATTAGACCCCAATACAAAAAATCAAGAATTTCTAAAAGGGCATGATAAAACCTCTTTAAAACTTTTCAATTTCAACTATGGAAATTTACCACTGTATCCACTCCCTCTCTCTACATAGCATGCAATAGCAGCCCGTTCTCATCCTTTAACGTCATATAGAACGCTATATGCAAAAACGGCGCTATACTACGCACATGGCACCCTTTATTGTTAATATAACACACAAACCCAAGATGTCATAAATCCTTTAGCGTGAATATGACACGCACACCCTACCCCACACCTAAACTTAGCCCTCACAGCGCGTGTTATATTAACGATAACGGGTGCCATGTGCGTAGTATAGCGCCGTTTTTGCATATAGCGTTGTATATGACGTTAAAGGATGAGAATGCGTTGGCAATAGTCTTGTTTTAAAGGGGTGATGAACTGAGAAATCAAATTTTCCTTGAGCTTTTGACATCTAATGCCTGGTTCAGATTACACAATTTTTTTTGTCTGTTGCGATAGTCACTGTGTCAGATTACGCGATTTTTACTCCTAAAATCTTGTTGTGTCGTGGACAAGACATGTCAGACTACACGTTGCTTCCTTACTACTTATCGCATGCCGTATTTAATGGCGCGCGTGATGTCATCGAGAATGCGAAACTAGTAGCGAGTGACTTCCGGAAACGAACGTAAACAAACAATGGATAAAGCAGTGAGTGTTGTATTGGCTGTGCTGTGTTCAGAAAAAAGTAAAAAAAGAAATAAACCCCGAAAATGGACACGTTCCTGGATTGCTCGGAGAGGACAGTATGGGCTGTCAATCCTCCAAAGAGAACTTGAGGTAAAATATTGTTTTCTTGTATATTTTTACTTTCAGTTTTAACGTTAGCACCATCGTCTCTCTTTCGTTTCGCCATTTTTGAAAGTTGTGTACGGAAAAGCTTCTGTGCTCCTATTGGTCAACCTCATACATGTGACGGAACCGTCGTGGACGACCGTTAAAAAAATTAAACATGCTAGTCTTTTTTTCGTGAAGCATCGCAGACGCGACGTAGGTTGTCGCCCACTATGACAGACTATACGAGATGATACGATCAAATCTTGCGTCCCGACGCCTGTTGTCGTTTACAAATCCCCACGACACCCTGTCCATTGTCCGTTTGTTCGCTTCATTTCACTGAGGATTGTTTTAAACAAGACTGGATTTTCAGACCGATTAAGAGTAAAGAACGGTGCTGTGCCGTCTATATTGGATCTGACAGGAATGGTGCAACTCACGGACTCTGGGTCGAATGTGTATGGGCAAATCATTCCGGTTTACATTGGACGTTTTTCCCCCATGTGCACCGACGGGTGAGTCGAAACTCATTATAATATGCAAAACTGTTATCCACTCACAGCAGTGGGCGTTTACTTCCAAGTCTTCAGTGCGAGACGCCCATAAAAACCAAGCTAGGCTCAAATCTAGGGTAGAAAATAGCCTATTACTTATTCATTTTAATGTTTTTGAATGCAAAATCCAAGCGAACGTCATACGTTGACCTCAAACAACAATGTAATAAAATTTAAAAAGCCAGTTCATGACCCCTTTAAATCTGGCGGTTTTGGTAATCTTAACACATGTGCTATAATTTTGATTTCATTTGTGATCTACTATTAATTTTCTCGCTCTGTTATGTACATCATACAGATTTATTTTAGGGATTTCCGTGTTGATGAATTTGATATCATTTCTCACAGCAAGAGGAAATTAGCTCAGCTGTTGCCCATATTGCACATCAACTGCTCAGCTGTCTTCAGCTTTGTTTGACTCTTAGCCGGAAATGAGAGGGCGAAATGGAGAATAATAATTATTTACGCATTGGCACACGTATGTTTTCGTGTGTGGCATCAGTGTTTTAATGATATCATCCAACGATCTTTCTACAGGGGCTTGCGTTTATGTTCTTTGATATTCTCTGGGTATTTTTTTTCTGGGGGTTGATATTTCTATGTGCATGAGTCATTTCTTCCCAGAGAAAGTGTCTTATAAGCCACATTTGAACTCGCCCTATAAGCAGTCAAACCACACACCCCAGCATATGAGTCAAGAAGAGATGATTTTAAAGTCTTTTCTTATCAATGTTTGGGATTTGCTTGTTATTCAAGTCACCGTGACACTCTTTTGTTTTCATTTTAACGTGTCTGTGTGTTTATTTAGGATGGTGTTGATGAGAATGGTCAAATTATGTTGTGGAAAAGTCCACAGATTGTCCGCCCACTTTCCCTGTGAATGCAGGGTTTTCCCCTACCAAAACGAGATTAGCATACCTGTGACATTCCTCTGCCATTAATATCTTCTGGTTTGACTTTCTCAACAGTATTTGCCGAACTGCTGCACAAAGACTTCAAATTGTATATACCCATGTATGAATAGTCATTTTATTATATAATATGGTACTATCTGTTTGTTTTAGACAAAACAAAACTACTGTTGTTTTATTAAAATATTGCAAAATAATATTAATTTATGAATAGCTTTAATTGACTAGATGATGGTGATTTATTATTATTATTTAACATTATCTAAATGATTATATTGATCATAAGATAATTCTCAAATGTATCAATATTATTTTACAATATGTTATAAATGATTGTTATTTATTCTGAAATAAAGACAATAATCTATTGATGATATTTTTAATTATTCATGATTTGTTATTATTATTTCACAATAAATGAATTTGTTATTTTTAAATAATTATATTTTTGATATTTGTTTGATTGTTTATTGAGTAGATTATTATTATTATTGTTGTTATTTCTATGTTAAATGAAAAATTATTTTATTCATTATAAGATAATAATGATAATTGTCAATGGATCCGTTATTAATCGATCAATAATAATTGTTTTATAAATGGGTAATGAGGATGCTTATTATTATTAATATTATTATTTCATAATAAATTATATAAATTATTATATTATTCATTGTGAATTAATAATAATAATAATTTATTTATATGTGATTATTATTATTATTTCACAATATTTTTTTAATTGTTATATATATATATATATATATATATATATATATATATATATATATATATATAGATAAAATGAAAATGATCAGTAATTGTTTTTATTGATAAATGATGATGCTGACGATTATTATGGCAAAGTGGCAATTTTTTTGTGGATTTTGATCTGAAACTGTGTTTTTAAACTATATTTTGTCATTGATTTCTGTTTGTTTGTGGGACAACAGATCTGCAACTACCAGGGAGCAGCACGAGTGGTCGTTCAGCTGGTGACCAACTCTCCGGAGCCCCATCTTCATGCTCACAGTCTGGTGGGCAAACAGTGCGATAAAGGAATCTGCATTGCCGATTTGCAGCCTAAAGATTCAAGTATCAGGTCTGAATTTATCTCTCAACATACCAAAATACCTCTTTCTGAGCAGCAACACTTTTGGTACATGCAATGATAATGGTCATAATTAATATCCACTTGCACTTGTTTCACAGTTTTCCTAACTTGGGCATTTTACATGTGACAAAGAAGAACGTGAGTAAAATTTTGGAGGAGAGGATGATTGAGGCCTACAGGATGGGATATAACTACGGCATATTCATCAATCCTGAAATAGATGCCCTACATGGAGAAGTTCGCATACCCAGAGAACTCACAGGTGTGTTTGTGTGTGTGTGTGTGTGTGTCCATCCATATTCTAGTTGAATGCCACCAAAAAGAATTATAAATGTTATTGTTGTATTTTTAGTATTTAGATGTATTTTACAGTCCAAAACATTTTGGCCAGTTATTCAGCAAAGTGTCAGTAAATACATTTATGTTACATATGATTTCTATTTCAGATAAATGTTTTGTCTTTTTAAACGTAATATTTATCAAAGAAAAAAATGCATTACGGTTTCCACAAAAATATTAAGCTGCACAATTGTTTTCAGAATGTTTCTTTAGCACCAATTCATTATATTAGAATATATTATGAAGAATCATGTGACACTCACGCTGAAGACTGGAGTAATGATGCTGATCCATCAAAAAAATACAATTTGAAATATATTAAAATGAAAACAGCTATTTTAAATTGTAATAATGTCACAATATTACTTTTTTTCAGTATTTTTCATCAAATAAATGTATTGGTGAGCATAAAATACTAAAACATTAATATTACCAACCCCACATTTTTAAACTGTAGTGTAAATACATGAACATAAATACATTTTTGCAGGAAGTTGATGGCATGCAGTGTGTGACCATTGTTACTGACTGGTTTGTACTTTTCAACCCAAAAATACAAGTGACTAAACTTATTATTTAGTCCTGAAATTGCTTGTGGTTGTTCTAGCTCAATGGGTGAAGATCTGGAATAGGATCCGAAAGATTGTAGGTTTAAACTCCACAAGAAGCGAACACTTGTCACTTTGTACAAAGAAAATGAACCCCAGTTTGGTCCGAGTGCAGTGGTCCTATGAATATAAATAGGAATTGTCATGTCTCCTGATGATCTGAAGATACTCTGGTCAACAGAAAGGTTTAAGAGATGAGTGAGTCTTTTTAAGAATTCTTGAATTGTTCAGAACATTGTGACTGTATTTCAGAACCTGAGAGGACCCTGATTAGCAGTGCAGCCAATAATCAGTCGAAGGAGATGGACCTGAGTGTGGTCCGGCTCATGTTCACAGCCTTCCTGCCCGACAGTGATGGAGGGTTCTCCCGCAGGCTGGATCCGGTCATTTCCGACCCCATCTTTGACAGCAGTGAGTATCACCCTTCTTCATGCGCACCATGTCAATCAGAAGTTGAAAATGTTAATGTTATTAATGCTTTATGTTGAAAGTAACATTAAGATTGATAAATACTGTACGTATTGTTAATTGTTCATGTCAACTATGCAGTTGACAAATTAAACCTTATTGTACAGTGTTAGATTTTATTAACATTCTTAATTCGTTTTTATTTATTTATTTTATTAGTGTTTTTTTGTCATTTTTATTCATTTTTGTTTTTTTATACAAACTTTTTTACAGACTTTATTAAATTTTATTTCAAGTAACAAAATAGTTTTATTTAACGGTTTTAGTATTAGTATTAGTTAACTATAATGACCTTAATTCATTTAGCCCAATATGTATAATTTAGCAACAAACACTTTTCTTTCTCTTGTTTGTCCCAGTAGTTTCTGTCAACGTGGCGTTCACATGATTTTAAATGTGTGGGGCTAATGATTGTTATTAGCTCTCACTTTCAGTCTCATTCTCTTTTTTTCTTATTCTGTCTCTCTCGCTCTCTGGCAGAGAACTGTCAGGTATTGCTTCCTCCCTGAAACTAAGCCTACACTTTCAATTTCCCCTCCCTTTTCTGATAATCTCTGCCCATTTCTACTCTCTCAGTGCTGTCAGAGTAAAAAAATAAAATGAAAAGGAAATATAAGGAAACGATAGAAGCTTGTTTCACCACAGAATGAAAAATAAAAAAGGTAATTGCGACTTTATATCTCACAATTCTTTTATTTCTCACAATTGTGTTTACATCTCATAATTCTGACTTTATTTCTCAGAATTGGAAATCTAAAGTCAGAATTGTGAGATATAAAGTCAGAATAGCGAGATATAAAGTCAGAATTGTGAGATATAAACTATTCTGAGGGGAAAAAAGCTTTTTTTTTCCTAAGAATTGGCCTGATAACTCGCAATTGCGAGTTTATATCTCACAATTGTGAGAGAAGATGTCAGAATTTCGAGATATAAACTTGTAATTATGTGTTATAAAGTCAGAATTGCAAGACGTAAACTCGCAATTGTGAGAAAAAAAAGTCAGAATTGTGAGGTAAAAAGTCAAAATTCTGTCTTTTTTTTGCAACTATTTCTCATAATAGCGAATTTATATCTCGCATTTGCGACTTTATTTCTCAGAATTGTGACTTTATATCTTGCAATTGCAACTTTATTTCTCAGAATTGCGACTTTATATCTAGCAATTGCGACTTTATTTCTCATAATAGTGACTTTATATCTCGCAATTGCAACGTTATTTCTCAGAATTGCGACTTTATATCTTGCAATTGCGACTTTATTTCTCAGAATTGCGACTTTATGTCTCGCAATTGCGACTTTATTTCTCATAATAGTGACTTTATATCTCGCATTTGCGACTTTATTTCTCAGAATTATGACTTTATATCTCGCAATTGCAAATTTATTTCTCACAATTCTGACAATTTCTCGCAATTGTAAGATAAAAACTTGCAATTATTTTTTTATTCAGTAGCAGAAACCAGCTTCCATAGGAAACTCCACTAAAAAAAATGTTTTGTTTCTAACACCCCTGTCTCTCTTGTTGCTTTTTAGAAGCCCCAAATGCATCCAATTTGAAGATAGTACGGATGGATCGAACTGCCGGCTGTGTGACAGGAGGAGAGGAGGTCTATCTGCTATGTGACAAAGTCCAGAAAGGTCAGAAAGCAATATCATAACGGTCATGGCATGCTCTGCCTGTCTGTTATTGCTGGACAGAATTAATGTTTTTTTCCTTGCCACTTTGAAATTGTAATATTTACAATGGAGATCTTAAAAGAGTAAAGATCTTGAAGTTATTCATCAATTACTGTGACATCACAACCATGATCAAATTAACATAGACAATTCCCGCACAGCAACTTGGTCATTCTCATTATTTCCCTTGCAGAGTTTAGCCATTCATAAAGATAATTTGCATATACACTACTGTTCGAAAGTTTGGGGTTAGTATGGTCTTTAAAAAAAAAAAAAAAAAAAAAAAAAGAAATCAAAAAACACTGAAAAAAGGACTGGAAGTCTCACCTTATGGTTTAAAGAGCCAATTGCCCTTTTGATAGAGCCATAACCTGTTTGTTTTACTCTTGAACTTAAATTAGCTAGACCAGCTTAAATGTAATAGAGATTTCCGTCTTTTGCCATTAATGTAGACTGGAGCTATACTTGTATGACGGGAAATAGTTGCCCGGGGCATTGCCAAGATGGCCGCCGAGGGAACCGACTTGTTTTAAAAGGGACTTTGCTAAGGGTCAGAACGAGAGAATGGTGACCGTCTTCACTTAAGGAGAAAGAGATGTAAATGTGGATTCTTTAAGGATCAGGAACATTTGAAAAAGCCATTTTGTAAAGTTTTCTGAATGAAACAGTTTTAGCTGAACAGGTGATACGCCACCTAGATTTTGGATGCCCTGCACTCTTAAAGGAAGTTTTCACTGCAGATTTCCAGCTGTAGGGAATTCCCCATTTCATATGCAAATTCAAGGGTAGGAGAAAGTTAGCTTTACGTCAGGTTTTCAACAACCTACCCGCCATTTCCCTTCCCTCATATTATCCCCACCTTGCTCACAAAGATGACATCTCTTCATGGACAAATCATAGTATGATAAAAAAAAAAAAAAAAAATCAGTCTGATTCTGGTTGAACCTGAAATACAAAATCAACAGTGTTCACCATTACTACCCACTAAATCAACTGAAACATTGACAGCAAGCTCTGTCTGGAGTGTTTTAAAATGAGGAATAAGATTCATATCACAGTTTCAGTCATGGTCTGTTAATGGCATTGTGATGTATTGAATGACAAGTTTTACTGCGTGAATCATATTGTGGGGGCATTGGGGTCATATAAAAAGACAGTCTTACATGATTATTTTATTGTTTAGTATCATGGTACAGTATATCATCAAAGTACCGTGGTATTTCCAACTGAAACGTAGAACATCTGATATGTTTCTGGATCATGTGTCTGTAATGTGCTTATCTGTTGAGTGAAGTGTGTATTATATTAAATCGGGGCTTTTGAGGAAGTAAGAGCGTTCTGCATGGTGATGACAGAGCTATTCAAATTTTACTGTGTGTCTGGCCACCGTTGTTTCCTCTTTCTTTCCCTGTTGGTTCACAGTAATTTCATTTTCTTGTTTTCCTCTAATGTGATGTCATTGTGTTTGTGACAGATGACATCCAGGTGCGGTTTTATGAAGATGATGATTCGGGTCTAACCTGGGAGGCCTATGGGGATTTCTCTCCGACTGACGTCCATAGACAGGTCAGCACAGGAACTTGTCTGCCCTACTGGTCAACCTGATTCTTTATGTTTAGTGACTTGCTTTGTGGTTTGATGATGCCTTCAGTCTGTTTCTTATAGACAAATCCTAACTCCTCTGGAATAAATAAAAGATTGAGGATTTATTAAAAGAGTAGTTAACTTTTGAAAAAACTTTTTCTGATAATTTACTCACCCTCATGTCATCCAAGATGTCCATGTCATTTTTTCTTCAGTCGAAAAGAAATTAAGGTTTTTGATGAAAACATTCCAGTATTTTTCTCCATATAATGCACTTCAGTGGGAACCAAACGGTTCAAGGTCCAAAAGACAGTTTCAGTGCAAACTGCAAACTGTTCAAAGGGCTTTAAATGATTTCAGACGATGAATAAGGGTCTTATCAAGCGAAACGATCGCTCATTTAAAAAATAAATAACAAAGTTTAAGTTTTATAAGCTCAAATGTTCAAACTCGTTCATCATAATGAATGAGTCCTTTTCCGAGTCATTTGGTTAATTCAACGAACGAAACGAACAAACTGACTGGGAAAAAGATTTGTTCAAAAGTCATTTTGAACAAAAACTTTAATTTCTTTTCGACTGAAGAAAGAAAGACATGGACATCTTGGATGACATGTGGGTGAGTAAATTATCAGCAAAAGTTTTTTCAAAAGTGAACTACTCCTTTAAGGCAGCATTGAATCAAAACTGAGTGTATCTTTATACACTATTGTTTGAAAGTTTGGGATTTTTAAAATATATTTTATATGATTTTATTCTGCATTTATTTGATACAATAAAAGCGGTGATACTGTGAAATATTATTACAATTTAAAATAATTTATTTCTGTTTTAAATATATTTTAAAATGTAATTTATTCCAGTGATGGCAAAGCTGAATGATCAGCATCATTACAGCATCAAGTTACTTATCAAGAAATGTTCTATTATTATCAGTGTTGGAAGTAGTTCTTTTTTATTTTTTGTAAACCTTGATGCATCTTTTTACAGGTTCTTTAATAAATAGAAAGTTCAAAAGAACAGTGTTTATTTTGTTTAATTATTTGTTTAATTATTCATCAAGACACTGTTACATATCGACATTAAATGACTTTAATTATATAGTAATATTATTACTATTAATAAAATATTCTGGCGTAATGAATAATCCACCTTTAATTTCCATCCCTTAGTTTGCTATCGTCTTCAAGACGCCTAAATATCGAGACCAGAACCTCCAGAAGCCCATCTCTGTGTTTGTGCAGCTCAAGAGGAAGTCAGACAATGAGACAAGCGAACCCAAGCCATTCACTTACCATCCACAGATTATAGGTACAGTCTTTACCCATCTCCCAAAAGTTTTTATTGTAACCACAGCATCAACTCTCTCTTTTTAAGGAGTTTTTCCCCAATTTTGCGATCTAAGAAAAAAATTGCAGACAGAAAAAAAGAAAAGTCTTAAAAAAAAGTTTTGTTTTTTTTTACTGCATAGCAATCAAGTAAAAAGTCTAATGTCTGCCCATATACTGAATTCTTTTTCCACTGAATTCACTGTTTTTAGACAAAGAAGAGGTCCAGAGAAAGAGACAGAAAACCCTGCCAAACTTCCAGGACTACAGCGGCGCAGGAGGCGGAGCTGGAGGCATGTTTAGAGGAGGAGGGGGTGGGTCTACAGCAGGGGGCGGTCCCAGTGGAGGAGGTGGAGGTACTTCAATATTGCATTGGACCTTTTAATTTAACATTTCAGTATCCCACCCTTGCACTGCTTTGATGCATTGATGTCGGCCAAATCTTTTAGATCAAATGATTTAAATGGTTTTGTCTTCTAGGGCATTTTTTCCAGGGATATTCAAATTATAACAATTATGGGACTGGATACAACTTCTCAGGCATGGGAGGAGGCGGGACTAGCATCAAGCATAGTGAGTGTCCATGCTGTCAATCAAGCTGCCATCATCACAGCATATTCAGTGTCACATGATCCTTTATGCTGATTTAATGCTCAGGAAACATTTCTTATCAATGGTGAAAAGAGTTATTTAACTTAAAAAAAATAAAATAAAAATTAGGACCTCTGGATTTGTACAAATGTTATAAGAAAATATATATTTACATATATATTTTGGGAAAAATCCTTCCTCTTTTAGCATATCAAGACCCAGTAGAAGACAGTGAAGAGGATAGCGACAGTGATACAGATGATGATCCTGCTTCAGGTGGAGGGGTGCGGATCTGTGCCCAGCCTGAACCTGTTCCCCTGAATCGGGGAGGGGCTAGTGATGACGCACAGCCTACAGAAGATCTCGAGTTAGACGCCACAGGTTAGACTTCCCGGTATAGTCAATGCAGCTAAATCTATAAACTTGTCTCTGGATAAATTTGTGCATTTCTCTTTTCAGGCTGTGTGTTAGAGCCACATTTGGCTGAGCTAGCTGGAAGACATGCTCAAGCTCTCTTTCATTACGCATTAAGCGGTGATGCTAGAATGCTTCTGGCTCCACAGCGCCCCCTCATGACCACTCAAGACGAGAACGGAGACACGTAAGTCAGACAAACCAAACTCATGTCTTTGTAGACCCTCTATTCACATGAACTATACACTTCTCACCAAAACACAATGTTGTTTTTACCCAAAAATTATTTACTGAAATTTTGGGTTTGGTTTTTAGGGGTTTACATCTGGGAGTGATCCACAGTCAGGCAGATGCCGTGCGAAATCTAGCACAAGTCATCTCTGATCTCCCTGGAGAGGATGTACTCAACATGAGGAATGATCTCTATCAGGTAGGGCTGCTCAATTATGGCCAGAAATCATAATCATTGTTTTTTTGGTCAATATTGAAATCACGATAATTGGTAGGTGATATGATCAACGTCTTATTTTATGATGGGAGTTATTTTAGTAGGGATGCACAAAAAATGGCAATTTCAGTTTCGGTTTTAGCCAAGTCCAGCCCTAATTTTTATTTATTTTGTTGCACCCCTAAATTTTAGATATCAGTGAAATTTCACAATTATCGATACTTCAGCAAACACTAATATTAAGTTAACTAATGTAGCTAAGTAAAAGATCCTCAAAACATTCAGAGAAGACGAGTAAACAGTCAGCAATACTTCATTGTGTACATTAAAGGGATGGTTCATCATTTACTCACCCTCAAGTTGTTCCAAACCTTTACGAGTTTGGCTTAGGGAGGAACGAAAGTGCTCTGGGCGGCAGCGGCACAACAATCGTTTTACCTCGATTATCTTGTTTTCATAATTTTGGAAGCCGAAATCAAAATCGGAAAACAATTTTGATTAACCGCACAGCCCTACGACCAGGTATACTAAAAACTCACACAATACTTTAAAAACAGGTTTTGTTTCTCACTACAACTGAGGCCTGTGAAATTTCCAAAAACTCGGTAGCCAATTAAATCCTCTGACACTTCTGTCCCAGACTCCTTTGCACCTCGCAGTGTTGACGCAGCAGAAAGAGGCAGTCGAGGCTTTACTGGAGGCTAAGGTGGACGTCACGCTGACAGATCGCCATGGAAACACGGCGCTTCACCTGGCGGCTCAACAGAAAGAGGAAAGCATGCTGCGATTGCTGCTAAAGCACAAGTCAGTGGCGCAGTTAACTAGCATGCCCAACACAGCAGGTACGCTGGACTTACTGTCTGAGAATCATTCATGCGTTCAAATGTTTTGGGCTCTGATTATATGTTTATATGTGTGTGTTCAGGTCTCTGCGCGCTTCACCTGGCTGTACAGGCGAACAGTCTAAGTTGTGTGCGGGCCCTGTTGGATGGCGGGGCAGACGTGGAGGTTCAGGAGCTTACGTGTGGCCGCACAGCACTTCATCTGGCCACAGAGCTGGGAAACCTTTCCCTCGCCGGCTGCCTCCTGCTGGAGGTACTACTAACACCTCCATACATGATCAATGAGGCGGTGAATGGCTACTTTAGTGCAAATATTTCTATTATTTTAAAGTTTACTCTGCTGTTGTATTGTTTTTTCAACTGAAGCCCACTTATAAATGTTAATTAGTGTATATTTTAGGTGGTCATGACCTCACTAACTGTTAAAAGTTAACTTCACTTTCTCTTTAAGACTTTTATTGCTAAATAATGTCTGTTACAGTATGTTTGGCTAAACTTGTTTCATGTGAAATGAGTAACAATAACCCTTTCAAATTTATAAATACTTAATGGGTTAACTGCTGTTGAGGTCGGTGCATTTTTATATACATACATATATATATATATATATATATATATAAATAATATTTATAATATATATATATATATATATATATATATATTATCGATGTTAAAAACAGTTGTGCTGCTCAAAAGATTTTTGCGGAAACCTTGATGTTTTGTTTTCCGA